TTCTGACAAAAGGCACAGTAGTAGTGTTCCAAAGGTAGGGTAAGTCTGTCCATGGTGACACCAAATGGGTCTCCATGGTAGGGTAACATGACTCTCCTAGACAAGGTAAACTCACCCAGTCTTCCAACCTGTCCTCATGCTGGAGCGGACATAGTCACATTACTTCTGCTACTTAGGCACACTTATCTCTTAAGTACCTTCTGTTTTTCAGGATACCCAGACCATCAGATATCTCTCGGACATGCTGGCGCATGTCCGCCTAGTCTACCATCTGACCTCTTGGTCTTATATATGAGTATAGACGTAGGTTGACATAGCTCTCTCATGTAGGATCATTACACCTGTCCATGTAAAGCCAATTCTGTCTGGATAACTCAATCTATATCAGTTGCCTCCCACCACATGTCCTGTTTGCTCTCCTCCTCCTAAGTTCCAGTCTCTGCTCCTGTGTCTCATGACTTGGAGGAACTGCTCCCATGTATCCTAATCCTATATTATCCATCTCTTCCATCCAAATTTTGTACTTTCAATTAATGTCATCGGAATTTTCTCACCATCATTGGAACATACTCCCCATGTTCTGTGACTTTTGGTAACTACATCTGATTGCACTTTGGTCTTGATAGCTACTACAAATACTGCATTTACTATTCTAGGACATCACATTAACTTACCTTTTTAATTTGTTGACTCTACTAGGTGCTATTGAAGCTTGCTATCCCACAGGTACTGCCAGTACTCCTATATGTGCCATTGAGCCTACTCTCGACCCTCATCCCACCAACCTGCTTCCTCCTCTCTCTCAATCAAAATTCCCTTCCTGCCATCATTCCATAGCTGTCAACTGTCCTGACTGTGAATCACACAGACTAAGGGTGAGGTGTGCAGAAACAGAGGAGAGAGAGGAACACCAATTGAAATCAAAATGCATATTAGAATTTGAATTAGAATTTGTATTGAAGTTATAAGTAGGACAAACAGATGTAGGTGTATCTAACTCGGTGGCTGATTTGGAGGCAGACCCTTCTGGAAGATTATTATAAGGTGAAGAGAGAGAGGGAGAAAGAGGACTTAATTCTGCTTGAACTGAAGTAGAATCAGAACTGCTGGCCAGTGTACTAGCTTCTTGAGAAGGAGAATTCAACTCGCTCGAGTTATATGGAATTGCCGATACTACTGCACTGTATAGTGATATCAGAGTAGGAAGACTTGTCGCTATGAAAGTATAATAGTGTTGTTCACGAGCCGGCTCGGCTCGAGAGACCCCTGGACTCGAGGACTTGAGCCAGGCTTGAGCCGCCAAGAGGCTTGAGTCTAAAGTGGCCAAGATACCTCTACACACTGCCATTATCACTCAAATCAACCATGCCTTGATACTGGTACTACTTGCCGGGTGTGTAAGAGCGAATGACCATTCCCCAAGTGTCCCCTGCCGCCCCTTTATCTCCCTAGCCATTCACCGCAGTCCTCTGTCGTCCCCCGTCGTCCCCTGCCGTCCTCCGTTATCCCCCGTCGTCCCCCGTCGTCCCTCATAGTCTCCTCAGATCCCCCGTCGTCTTATGTAGTCATCTGCCGCCCCCTACCACCAGTTGTCTCAGATCGTTGGGCTCGTCGTCCTTCCTCAAGGCGGCCGTCGTAGGAGTTCAAGGACGACGACGGACTATATTTTGCCATCCTTTCTCGTCCCGGGCTCCAGGCAGGCCCCCCGCAGGGCCCAGCTGGGGCCCCTGATGGTTGAGAACACTGAGTGCCACTTTCAGATCCAACCCTTCCCGAGATATCTTCCCAGCAATGATTGATGGATGGAATGGGAGGCTGCTGGGGCAGTCGTATGATACTAAGGGGGCGATGGATAACGAATGCGGTTCTACAAAACCTTGAGAACACAATATTGCCAGTTTCACAGGCAGTATGCTTTGAAAGTTCTGGGTAACTTGAATGGAATCTCACTGCGGGACCTCACTTACCCTGGCCCTTTTCCAAAAGTCGGAGGAGGAGGTGTTGTTTTGGTTCCCCTTGGTCCCAACTGGAGTGTAGCGCTGATCTTTCATCAACGGGGGTCGACTGGTCCTTCAACACAAGAGTGCGATTACCTTTTCCTAAATTTAATTGCATTCAAAAATCAGGTTAATTTTCCTAGGGGTTTTGCTTATGCTCCCCGCACATTCAGATATATATATATCTGATTGGTACACCTGTTAACTGAAATCCTTTCTATGATTGACGGCCAATTAGCTCTTCAACGCGACCAATGAGGATCTAGGGAATCAATGACCTTCCACATAGAGGGTGGTCTAGCAGATGGACACCGTACCAACTGTCCAGGTGGGCTTGACGGTTGTTCCCATGCAAGGTGTTAGAAGGAGGTGGTTAGATAAACGCCCTCAGGACCCTTTTTCCAGGATAATTCACTCTTCGAGCTGACCAGATACTTTCAGCGTTCGGAATGGTTCGCGGAAGACTGGGCTGGACCAGCTAGTCCAGTCGAAAGTCAGGTTTAGTCCAATCGTGGAAATTAGACCGACTGGATGGTCAGAATAATCGGAACTGACTTGGTCAGGACTGGTCCGACCAAGCCTGCCAAGAATAGAATATGCACGGCCCTTTAACCTAGATTCCGCTTTTCACTATTTTTATTACCTTAGATTATATTCAAATAAAGATTGTCTTAATTAAACTCCATGTTTCCATGGATTATGCCAAATATTCTTGGGAGAATTGGAGTAGTGGTAATACCTTACTTAGATTAGGGGCAGTGAAAATAAATTCACGAGTATCAAATTCTTTCAGTGCACTAAGTGAGTGATATTACATGACTATGCAATCTTTTATGAAGACTGGTCTAAGACCAAGCCCGGACCGGCTCGGACCACCCGAGTTAGTCAGGTCCAGTTACGGACATCACCAGGACTGGCCAGCCTGGTCTTGCCTCCAAGACTTGACCAGTCGGACTATTCGGAACCCTGGGGAGTTTGCCTTTCCTTTCGGTAGTACGGGAGTTAGAGCAAGCAGAAGGGGAGGAGTACGAGAAATAGCACGCACATGTGTGGCTGTGCATGGAAGGACAGAAGGACTTAGTTTGTTGTCGATACATGCTCCTTTACTTATCCTTAGTTAGTTGAGAGACTCTGTAGGTAACGAAGAAGAAAAGAACTTCCCCACCCCTAAGTTGTGCAATCCTTTGGGGCCCATCCGCCCAGCTGGTGGTGCAACATGGCTTTGGTTTTTTTCTGAACTTTTCTATCGTCTGTCTTTCAGAAGAGCATTGTGTTTGGCTGCCTTTGTTCTAGCGGGCAAACCGCCAACTCCAGAAAGATAAACCCTTTAAAAGCTTTAAAGGGGCTGTTCCCAAAATACATGCTCACAACCACAGCAGGGTATGGGATAGTCTGAGTACCTAATGTTCCCCTGGCTGCTCTTTTTCTAGTCTCAATATGGTGCAGTGCGTCTAAAGTGTGGACCTGGATGGATGCAACATGGGACGCTCAACCCTGTGAGGAATTAGGGTTATATCAGAAAATATGTAATTTCTCAAGGCTCTGTGTTCAATTTACATTAAGAGAGTATTTTTCACATATATTTTTGTTAATTATTAATACTGAATAAAGGTCAATAATTGATTATAACTTTTGGACAAGGTAAAATCTGTAGTTCTAAAGCACCTATTATACAAAACTAATTCACG